TTGCAAAGCGTTCAATAATCTGGTACTGGTTGGAGAGCAGGCTGGGAGTTATATAGCAGGAGGAGCAGGTGTGTGTGATGAGCCGATGAGGTGTATACTAGGTTGCTGTGGAAACAGAGTTTGGCTGGAGCGGTGGCATGAGGGAGCCAGGTGTGATGCATGAAGGTGATGAGGTGCTGACTGGGGTTGCTACGGAAATGGGGCCTGGCAGGAGCAGGAACATGACAACACCAACTTTATTTCTCCCTCAACTACATCTCTCCTAGCGGGCTGAGGGACGTAATAGATACTCCCTAAAACTCCTTCTTATTTGTACTTCTTTCCATTTTTTGATCTAATGATTTTGTAATCACTTCTAATAAAAGACCTAGCTGAGCCAAATGGATTTCAGTCTGAGTTGGGATGTGAACACACACACAGCCCGTCTCACACTCTGCTTTGCAAAGTTGCTCTAAAAGACAATTGCCCATGTCCAGTTTGTAATTGTTTGATAATGGTGGTAGAATTAACCCATCAATAGTCACAGAGCAAAAGTGGTGTAGGTGAACAGCAGATTTATCTGATCATGACACCATTTACCCATTAGATTTGCTCTCGACATTGGTCGGGACATATAATTGTGATGACTGGAAGTGTGTGGGTTGGTTCTGTAACGTCCAGCAATGGTCAGTTTTTAGGTACAGTTTGACCATTCAACATCTGGTCAAAAAGGAGACACGAGACTGCATGTATCCCCTTGAAATCAGTCTGCTTCCATCCCACCAGCTGGAATTCAGAGCCTGCAGCTCTGAACACAGATAACAAAATGTCAACAATAATGTTCTCTCCTCAAGGTCCAATCTTTTAGGATTCTTCATGCCTCCATATAAGGAACACTCGCAGCCCGCATTTCCTAAATCAGATATGAACTTCTACAACTTATAAGCTAGATAATCATTAAATAAATGTTTGTTTATTGCTACTTATAATAATTATAATATAATGAAATGTTTCATTAATCTGTGCTCAATGATTGATGTTTGAAATGAATGTTATGTTATGATTACAGTGATTGAAATATGTTTCAGCATGTTTATATGACAAGGTCATCACCATTTGCTAGACGTTGTATGAACTAGTCGACTAGTCGACCTCACTGCTCTGTAGTGACTTTTTAAGCTTGTCATCGACTAGTCGCTGTCACGTGATAATGACCGGCAAGATGCAGTCCTCGGAAACGACAGCAGGTGACGAGCTCCTGCCCGTCAGGAGGCGACGCGCTGTGCCAGAGCGTCGGTATCTGAAACCCGCCATAAAATGGACATTTGACCAAATTGTGACCTTTACCCTATTACAATTTAACCTTCCCCTCACCCCCATACTAACCTTAACCAGCTTGCGCATGCAAAGCTCTGATTGTTGACGTGCTCCAGACATTTGCATCCTGAGCAAGGCCACAGTAACGTTATCAAATCAGGTGTCGCCACCTCAAAAAAATTTTTAACACGCGATCGTTCATGTCGACTCATATCCTTTTATGTTTTCTGTCTTTTATTTGTGCCTGATGCGTTTCGCTGCTGTGGAGCGGGGCACATCACCTTGTCCTCCGGTGCGGCCGGCATGCATCCCGCTGTTTTTGCGGTCGGTAGATCTTCTAGAACTGCAATTCAAAGGTAACTCATAAGGTGAATATATATGAAGCTATGTAGCAGTTTTTCTTTAGGATTTAGAGGAGATGCAGGAAGATAATAAACAGGCAGGACAGAAAAATAGTCAAATAAAAACAAGTTAGTTTTTGTACCTGGTGGTTGCAACAAACAGACACCACTGAAGGTAATCAGAAGTGAGGAACAGAAAATGAAATAATTATTTTAATGTTTAGAGCAGCAGGAACTCTGAGAAGCTGCAGGCGCACCAGTGAGTTTGTGGCTGCTGTGCAGGACGGGGGGGGGGGGGCTGAAGCAGAAACTACCGTTGTTAAAAAAAGTGTTTAACTTTGAAAATGTGGGCGCAATATTAATTATCAAAGAAAACTCCAGCAAACCAAACCCCCCCCCCCCCCCCCCCCTAACCATCAAAGCTTTTGACACGTCGTCAAAATTTTTTGCACCTGCAAAGCTGGTACAGCAACAGTTCCTGCAGAACAAGCTGATACTGTTTAATCTCCTTTAGAGTCCCAGACGCGCGGTTCCAACCATCTGTCGTGACCCGAGACATCTCTGGACTGAAGAGTCGGTGCCACGGTATTCTACAGCCCTTCGGTACCAGAGGTCAGCCAGCCTCTCTGACCTTCGGATCCACCAAGACGGTCTCCAAAAGCCGTAAGCACCACCTCACCCATGCCACGTGGACCTCAAGGGATACACCATCAATCCTGCTCAATATTGAACTTTTCACGCGGGGTCACCCATGAAGTCAGTGGGAGGGTTAAAAGCCACGGAAGAGTGCTCAAAGGAAAATATTACAGCGTGAATGACCAGTTTCCTAAGGACATCCTGGATCGGTGCCGAGTCCTCTTCCCGCTGCGCAAAAAGTTCCTCCAGAATGGGAAGAGGGCTGTCATCTTGGTGGATAAGCTTTTTGTTGACAGCAAACTTTACAAGGAGCGAGGAGTGACAGACTGCGAATCTCCATCCGGTGACCTGTACGGAGGTAGCATCCACGTCCCTGGGCTTAAATAGCGCTGGGCCGACGACTCCACATCTCACACGGCTAGGTCTGGTCAACGCCAGGTCGGTAATGAATAAAACTTTCATTTTGAAAGACTTCTTTGTTTCACAGGGGTTGGAACTCCTGTGCATATGTGAGAGCTGGCTGCCTATGGGAGATTTGAGTGCTTTACCGGAACTACTACCAGTGAGTTGTAGCTGTTTTAATGTCCTAAGGTCTTCTGGTAGAGGCGGTGGACTGGTTGTCATCTATAAATCTCACTTCATCTGTAAACAGCTTATTCTGTTGAATCCTACTTCCAGCTTTGAAATGTGCCTATTTGAACTTGGCCCACCTCCTCTGTTGCTCGTGGCGTTTACATATCGTCCTCCTAAATTTGATGTGGACTTTTTAAAGGACTTCTCTGACCTCCAGTCTGTAAACATGCTAAAGTATGATCATGTTTTGATTCTTGGTGATTTTAATATCCATGTGTTTTGTCCTGATAAGCCATTGGCTAAAGACTTCTTACATCTGTTGGGCTCCCTTAATCTGTCACAGTGGGTCCTGGGTCCTACTCATGCACAGCTTGGATTTAGTGCGCTCTATTGGTCTCTCTGTTGCTGGTTTAGAGATTCTGAGCCCGTTTTTTTCTGATCACTCACCCATTCTCTGTGATTTTAACTTGCCCTGCATGCCTGCTGTGACTTCCTCTCGTGAGATTTTGTCGTGTTTTAAATGCAGCAAAGATTATTGAGCTTGGTGAGCTCCTATGTGCCGAAGGAAGTGAGCTACACCTAACGTTCTTCTGATATGAAAATATATTGCAGATAGAAGCGTGTGGATTTCCCCCCTAAATGAACTCAACGCTTTATCCAGCACCTTCATACATATGAGCAGTTTTTTTCTCTTTTTGTGAATCAGACAAGTAAAGAAATCGTTCCTTAAAACAAATCTGTCAATTTGTTGTTGTTATTGTTTTCTCCACACAGAACCCATAATGAGATCCATGGTCAGGGCCGGCTCTAGGTAATTTGATGCCCAAGGCGAGACCGCCCATTTGACACCCCCCCCCCCCCCGCCTGCATGCCTCTCACCCAAACCCAAGTCCACCCACCCAACACACACTGGAAAAAACAACTCCACCGTTATTCCTTAGTTACTAATTTTTTATTTTAAATATTCACACAGCAACTCTTTAAAGTCAACAGCCTGAAGAATAAATGTAAGCTTGAAAGATAAGTAACCTGAGAATATTACAATAACCAACAACTCAAAATGTTGTGCAAATGTCATTGGGGGGGTGGATGCAAAATCAACAGCAGCATTAAACTGTGCAATCAAAAGGAAAACTCAGACATCAGTGTCATCATAAAGAATGTTCTACTTCCCATTTTGTTCGACTGCTGTGGCCAGTCAGCAGGATCCATGGGGCCAGCAGCTCACACATGTTCACAGACATCTGTTGAAGCTGATCATGATGTCACTTCAGGCTGTTGGATTGAGCACTGAGTCTGCTGGTGTTGGGTTCTTCTTCTGTGAGAAAATAAACACACACACACACACACCTACACACACACACACACACACACACACACACACAGACACACACACACACACACACAAAGCAACTTAACCCTCTGATGCATGGATTAAGGACAGCGCCACTTTCACATTCAATATTCCTCGGTCATGTGCAGTGATGCTTTTCATTATTTTTAGTGTTACTGGACTTTTTATTTTATTGATCTTTTTTAATCTGTTCTATGAAAACATGAATAAAATTATCAAAAACAGGTGGAAGTGAGCGCATCCATGGGGAATAGTTGAAAAAACGTATGTCTCACTCTCAGGTGCTCTTCAGCATCAAATAAATTGTAGAATATGAGGAAGAAGATCCGGTGATCTGAGGCACTCTGAGGATTTCACTTATTAAACAAGGAAACACCGACGCGGGACCGGCGGCAGCGCCGGTCAGCGGGGGAGTCCCCGCCACGGCCGCGGCGGTGCCGCCCGCCCGATGTGTCTGACAAAGTTGAAATTTTGCTACACACACACCTAAAGTTCTTCTGATATGAAAATATTGAATTCATATTGTATGCGTACTTAAAACCTGAATCGAAGTTCACAAAAAGGCTGCAATCATACTCGAAAAAAACGGTAAAAAAAAAAAATCTTACATTCTTCATCTTAACAGTGAGACTCAACAGGTGTAGAAGACAGTCCCGCCCCCGTGGTGTCAACAGGTGCCTGTAGACAGGCTGCAGATATTGTCTCACTGCATCTGGACATGACGATTCAAAAGTAAAATTAATTGGTTAAAGTTACGAGATACTGTATTGTGTATGTAAACAGCTAGCGAGGGTCCGTCAGTGGACCGTGCGTGGCAGGAGAGGCAGTTAGCTACAATGGTAACGCAAAAAGTTCCTTTTGCCAAATTTATAAAGTCTACATACCTTTGCTATGGGCCCATTTTTATTCTTCTTCCTTCCTTCGCTTTCAGAAAGCTGATCCCGGTGGCTTAGGCGTTCTTTTCACCGTAAAATATTAAAAGTTTAAACGCGACAGGATGTCCTTCTGCAGTGCTAACCACGCACGCGTTATACGGCAACCTTAACGGTCAAATGCTTCGGAGGGTGGCCCAAGCGGGAGCTCGTCATGCAGCCAGATCGTTAGAATTTAAATATTGATGTATTAATTTCATGTCATTTCAGAGGGGAATTTTGAGTATGTAGAGAGCGCATTTCATATAACAAACATAAATGTAATAAACTATTTTTTTTATTTTTATTTTTTTATTTTGCGCCCTATCCATCAGATAGCGCCCCAGGCGGCCGCCTGTGTCACCTGTCGCCAAAGCCGGCCCTGTCCATGGTGGATAGAGAACTCTTTAAATAGTTGGTCTCCAGTCTTCAGCTGAACACACCACACTCACTAAACAAATGTAGGTATGTGGAGTCCTTGTGTGCGCTCCTGGTAAACAATCTGCTGGTTGTATTAAGTTTTAATTTTTTACCTGTTCTTTAGAATTCTGAGATGAATGTAACATACATTACTCTTGATGGTCATGTGGAGGTGGAAAAATACCGGTTCCTTTATTTTGTCATCATGCTTCTGGCATATATTTTAATTTTGTGCAGCAATTTTACCATTGTTTATCTCATTGTAGTTCACAAAAACCTTCATGAGCCGATGTATGTATTTATTGCTGCTCTGTTGATCAACTCTATTCTTTTGAGCACGGTGGTCTATCCAAAACTCTTGTTTGACTTTCTGTCTGAAAAACAGATCATATCTTATCAAGCCTGTGTCTTTCAGGTTTGTGTTTTTTACTCGCTAAGTGGTTCAGAGTTCTTACTGTTGGCAGCCATGGCCTATGACAGATATGTGTCCATATGTAAACCTCTGCATTATCCAACCATCATGAGAAAAGCCACTGTGATCATTTTGCTGGTTTTATCCTGGCTTTTACCTTTTTGTCACTTGGCTGTGCAACTCATAGGAAATGCTCAAACCCAGCTGTGTAGCACTACTTTGAAAGGTATGTTCTGCAACAATTCAATTAACCATCTTTTATGTGTGACTTCCAGAGCACTGTCAATATTTGGTTTAGTTATTCTGTTCGATATTGGCTTGCTTCCTTTGCTTTTTATACTCTTTACATACACAATGATATTCATAACAACTTATAAAAGTTGTGGACAAGTCAGGAAGAAGGTTGCTAACACCTGTTTACCTCACCTGCTGGTCTTAATAAATTACTCTTGCTTCATTACTTTTGATATAATTATAATTAGACTGGATTATGATATTTCAAATACTTCACGTTTTGTTATGACAATACAAATGATAATATACAATCCTCTTAGCAATCCAATCATATATGGAATAAAAATGAAAGAGATCTATAAACACCTCAAAAGACTGCTCTGTCAAGCCAAGGTAGAGAAATGTAGTTAAATGGTCTCTATTTATATACAGATTTAAAAATGTGTCTCGATTTTTAAACTATTACATACTTTTTATTTAATGGCTATGCATTCATATGTGTTTTGCTGTCCACTGAGATCTTCACCCAAGCCCATGAATCTAATGAGCATGGATTGTTCATGCCCAGGGCAAAATGGTTCTGAGGCCCGGCTCCTCATAAAGTCCACCATGAGCTCTGTAATGCACAACAATGTGTTTCATTTATTTGTTTTTCTTATTAAGCTTAAAAAATGATAGTAAATGACTTTCTAAAACACAGTGTGACCATTATTTTTCAGTTTGGAGGGGGAAAGGTTGGGGCAAATGTAAATGTTAAAGGCATTCAACACAAGGATGTAGCCTGCTTAGACAAAGTTTGATGCCATTTAGATCACAAGTGTGATAAACAGTCCCTCAAATCTTTATATTTATATATGGCCCGCTGATCATGTATCAAATATGTATTAGTATGAGTCTGTGGCTGCTGCACAGTTCTTTTTTTCTCTCCCTAACACACTGACACAACTCCATGCTCAAGTTACTCAAACGGTGTAACAAATTATCACCACGCCACAAATTCAACTTTAAATTTCAACTTTTAAGTGCAATAACTTCATCAAGGGAATATTTTGTCTGAACATACGCACTGCTTTTGAAACTGACAGGATAATATGATGCATGATTAACTACTTTAAAAGCATCTGCCTGGACAAGTTTAGACACTGCAACTTCTTATGCTAAAGGATCTTTGTTCCAGCCCAGTGTCTCATAAGGCTGGTATTCAAAATAGTATAATGAACTGTTTATCACGTAAATGGTTTTAATAAGCCCAAAGACCAGAACTGTGTCATTTGCATTAGTGATTGTTAGAGGCCTCATGTACTTGTTCCCACTGAGAGCTACTTTATATTGATTGCATGCATCACATATCCCCAAATATTTGTGGTACCGAATGTGCCAAAACCATCGACATATATAACAGACAATTTGTGTCCATAGGCTCGAATTATATTTTCGTGCCAACATGGGAGGTTCCCAACACCGCCATTTTGACCTTGTCACAGGTTCCGTAATGCCCAGACAATTCCAAAAAAGGAAAAGAGGTGGGGCTCTAAAGCTGGGATTAAATGAAGACACCCATCGAACCAAAGCGATAGTTACAAGCTATCCAAAAGCTAATGCGGAGGTGGGAGCTAAGCTAATGGAGGTAGCTACCTAGCTCCACCCAGAGCTAACTGTGCTAACTGAGCTGACCTGAGGCTCACACAGAGTTTGTATTTTTGCGGTGCTATTTCCTGAAAACTATCTTCTCGTGAATAAAAAAGTATCAAATCGATAAGTTTATGTCATTTCCTTTATGAAAATATATTTTGCTTTTAGCAAGTTTTCAATATTTTTTTACGTAGTTTAGTGTTTGACAAAAATTAGCAAGCTAACGGACCTAATGCATTTCATATATTTCTAAAACTTAATACTTGTTTGTATCTCCCACTTGCAATACTTTTATCACAAGTAAGCCAAATAGCTTTTATTCAGAACTCAGTACAATTCACAAGAAGAAATGAGACATTATACAGATAAAATAAGCACAAGATAACTTACTGGGAAAAAACTGAATTATGATGAGAACCAGAACAAGAGAGCCTGATAACAGCCGTGAAAATAAACATTAAAAAGTGTAATATGTATGTATAATAAAAATAAAATGATACTGAAATTTGTGTAACTCACTATGATCACAAAAATAAATCAGCCATAGCTGATTAGCAATCATGAAATGTGGTCTGGGAGGGTGTAAGTTTTATTCTTTTATTACAACACTTTTTTTTTTTGCTTTTAGATCTGTTACAAGGTCACCATGGCTGCCTGTGTGTTTTCAACATCAGCTACACAAAGTAGCAAGTGTAAGTACGAAGTACCTATCTTGGCACCTTCATGTATGGTTTTGTACTTTAAACAGCTAGGCCAAACCTGATATTTTTTTCTTCATAGCCATTTGGATCATTGGAGACAGTTATGTGAGGCGTGGTGCCCAGAGAGCTGCAGAGACCTTCAGAGACTACCTTAGTCTCCCTGATATCCATGTCTCCTGGTTCAGTTGGGGCGGACTGAGATGGAAATACCTTCTCCCCTATTTTTTTTCCATTCCCTGCGAGGAAGAGCAGCTCCTGATGTCCTTATTCAATCCAAATTCAAAAATACTTTATTAATCCCAGAGGGAAATGACACATGACAAGAATTGGTGACTGTGGTCATTCGCAACATGAGTCGCGCTACCGTAATAGATCAAGAGGTATATTCTTCTTCCAGCACTCACAGGGAGCAGTCGCTTCTGCCTTTCCTCCCTTATCTGTATTTTCCCAAGGCTCTTTTTGTCCCGTCTGCCTACAGAGCGCTTCTCTGCATTTCCTCTGGAAATCACTATTTTTCAGCATGGATTTAATTAATTGGTCATTCAACGCGATTGATAAGATTTTTTCTACAATGAGGACGGAGGAGGGGGCTTGCGCTTGCCCTCAAGGGACACATGCAGCGGGATATATGTTTGATTCCTGGAATAAGTGGAATATCATCTGTCTCTCTCAGCTGTCCATTGAGGATGTCGAAGATATATGGATATTTGGCCTGATGATCGTCGGATTTCTTCTGATTGGAGTGGGAGGATATCTGGCTTTCCGTAAGACTGGGATGACGGGAGAGATTGGAGGGCGACCCGCATCCATGGACGGCACCGTTCGTGTGGATACCTCACAGACTGAGACGTTGCTCGAGTTGAATCGCAAGCTGGACAATGTCTTAGCTGCGTTACCGGTGTTAGCGCGCAGGATTGATAACATCTCGGAAAGGGTCACCGGACGGTGTGGAGATCAATACAGACTTTAAGGCAGGGAGGAAAAATTATCTCTGCCTGACCCAAACAAAGTTCTGTTATCGAATCTGACGCCATAAGCAGCCTTGGAGTTGCGTGCAAAACCCCCCACGATGGAAGGAATGCAGACAAATGCTGTGAAACTCTTTTCACCACCCCCCCCCCCCACCCCCCCCCCCCACCCGCCTCCAGATTGTGGTCTCTACTGAGGTCATTAAGCTGAAGGACTCACTGCTCTCTGTGCCTCCCCATGACCTCCCTCCCACCTGCGGAGCCAGCTGGTTGAGCGCCACACAGGCAGCCCCCGCTGAAGAAACCAGGATCCCAGCCCCCCCCCCCCCCCCCCCCCCCCCCCGCCACCCCTTCAACTTCACTTCAGCCTCACAGGCTCCAAAGGCACCAGATTCAGATAAAAATTGTTTTGGGGACAGACAGAGATACTTTCCTCTCTGCCTTAAAGTTCTGTTGGTCTACAACCCCTCTAGATCCAAAAATAGCGTAATTAATCAATCCCAATCCGTGCTGATCCATCCACTCGCTCCATGATGGTATCCACCTTTTGTGCCAGAGCCTGAATCTCAGCCAAAATTCCAAGCTTTTGACTCATCTCGACAATTATATGAGTTTGCGCATTCACAGCACAATGCATCCCATCCCTGAGTTCCGGGACTGAGCCAATATTCCTCGAAAGCTCATTAATTTTCCGGTAAGCCAGGTAACCACTCAGGCCAAACAGCAGGAATCCCGACACCAAAACGGCGAATATCCAAACATCTTCAGAATCTTCTACAGACAGTTGAGGGAGGCATATCAGGTTTCACTGTTTCCAGGAGTCCATGATATACCCAGCTGGCTCTGTCCCAGAAGGGCATCCGGGAGTCCCTTCTCCCATTGTCATTGTTGAAAAAATTTTGTCAATCGCGTTGAAAGACTAACTGACCAGATCCATTTTTAATCATTTCCAGTTTCTAGAAAAAAATGCAGAAAGCACCGTTGTTATGATCACCAGTTTCTACATGCTCCTGTTCCTGCTCCACTTCCCTGCAGAGAGGAGCAGCCCCATCTCTGCTCCTGCTCCTCCCTCCTACCTTCCAGCTGTGCTCAATCCCTAACCAGCTTCTGAGCTTTTAAAAGGGCGCTGCCAGAAGAACCAGGGAGCAGAGAGAGTGGGGAAAATCTTGAGAGTGAATGAAATCCAGACCTAGTTTAGAACCTAGTGTAATTTCATTGAGTGTATTTTACTCTGAGTTCTGTGGAACTTTTGGAGATTGTACTCAATAGAGGTAGGAAATTGGTTAGTTTGAACCTACTTTCTATATTTGCTCAGTGGAGCATTTGTAGAGGTTAAGTTAACTTGTTGGCTGTGTGTGCTCAGTGGAGCATAAGTATTTCTTTTGGTGTGTTTGCTCAAAAGCGCTTTGATTTAATAATTATTACTGTTTTGTTTCCATTACCTTAACAGCCCTGTGCTCGCCCTTAGTTGGTTTGGACTTAATCGGTTTACTTTCCATTTTAGCCCAAAAAGGGGAATAGCTGAATTTGTGAGTCTACTCTGACTTATTGGTTTATTATAGTAGTTGAGCTGAGCTCTAGCTTGCGTGTTCCCTCAAGTCCTTGTTTTTTCCCTCTTTAGGAGGTCACCTTTAGTTCTTGTATTTAACTGACCTAGTAACCTTACACGAGTTTGGTCATTTATTCATTATTAAAATCATTCGCTTTTAAAATCCTGACCCTGCGCCTTTTTATGTTACGACGTTGTTGGGTATTTTTATAATTGTACCTTTTTGAGGCCTAAAAGATGCCCATTTTGTGTTATTGACACTGCATGAATCTCTGTTTTTGCCAACTGTTGCTGTTCATGAAAGGTTGAGCAAGGGTGTTGATTGCAACTGAAACCTTTGTAACTCTGTAACCTGAGAAGGCCCCGCCTTCTCCCCCATCCTTTGCTGTGAATAAAGCCCCTGGGAAACTGAGGAGACTTGGGAGTGATGTGGGGAAGCCTCGCAGGAGGTTCCTCTGTGTTAACTCTCCATATTTTGGGGACTCAGGGTAAAATGTCTTCCTTGTTGTCATGTGTGTTATTTCAGGTTCCAGGATTATGGAGATTAAATATTACCTAGCATTCTGGTCTCCTGATGGAGAATGCGGGTATGCAGAGCTGGTAAGGTGAAGGCGTTGAGGCTGGAACAGAGGGGGGGGCTGGTTAGCTCCATGGAGGGGTTTCTTTCTTTTTTTTTTTTTTTTTACCGTGTCCTGTCTGGCTGTGAAGCAAGCAGAATTGATGTCTGAATGCTGGTGACAAGCCTTACAGATTTACTCTCAGGTGGAGCATCAAAGCGTTTGCTTTTAATGCCACGCCTGATACT